ATGAAGTTTTGTTTGGTTAATACGAAGAAGAAAAATAAAGAGCACAGAGGGAGAGGGTGAAGTAGCTCCATGTTAGCCCAAGTGCCCCCCAGTGGCTTGCCAGGGAAAGTACAGCCTTCCCAAGCCACTTCTTGGCCAAATGGAACCTGCCGGAAACAGGGACTCCACGCTGGGCTAGCTTTCCATTGCTGCTCCCCTCCCCCAGGCCAACATAGATCTGTAGCTAGAATTAGGTCCCAGAAAGCCCCACATATCCAGGAGGCCTCTCAGAGCTGGAGTCCTCACTATAGCTGCAGGGTGGCCTTTTCAGTAGGTGAGCCTCTCTGGGTCTTCCTTCCATTCAAATTCCCTCTTCTTCATCTTTCCATCAAATGGTCAGCTAAAGCACACACCTTGCCTGTGCCTGTCCACAGGTGGAAAAATTGGCACGGACACTGTTCTTGTGGAAGATTGAGGTTCATGACCAGAAGGAACGCGTCTACGAGATGCGGCGCTGGAATGAGGCCTTGGTCACCAACATGCTGCCTGAGCATGTGGCACGCCATTTCCTGGGGTCCAAGAAGAGAGATGAGGTGAGGGGTGGCCTCACCCTATAGCCCGCAGCCATAAGGCTGTGTGTTGTCTGGCTTTCTGCCAGGGAGCCCCTCTGGACCCAAGGTCTTCTCATGAGCTGGTTCCAGTCTAGGCAGGGCTGTGCCCAAGCAGCAATTGCAACATAAGCAAAAGGGAAATTTCACAGGCTTTTGGTAGCACTTCAACCTGTGGGCCACACATCACCGGAAAGCCCCATTTCAGATGAGGCCTTGGCTAGAGCTCCCCTGTCACCTGTCATCTCCTCGCATAGAAGCATTCTCCCGCCTCACTTCCCAACTCCATCCCACCCGCTTTCTCAAAGCTAGGACTGTTCCAGAGACTAGAGAAACTTTTTACTTCTTCAAAGATGTGATGATCTACTTCCTTATAGTTCAAAGCTGGAATAACCAGAGAGGTATCCGTAAGCTGAGTACACCAGTCATGGGAGAGCTTCATTTCTGTGGCACACTGTTCATCAGCATTTCTTTGAGCACTTTGGCCCTGCCTCTTTTTAGGAGCTGTACAGCCAGTCTTATGATGAGATTGGAGTCATGTTTGCCTCCTTACCCAACTTCGCTGATTTCTACACAGAGGAGAGCATCAATAATGGTGGCATTGAGTGTCTGCGCTTCCTCAATGAGATCATCTCAGACTTTGATTCCGTGAGTCCCTGTCCTGGCCCTGAGCCAGCTCACTCCGGATTACACCCCAGGACCTGCTGCAGAAGTCAGAAGCTATAGTTATTGTAGCTGCTCCACTTTTCTGGATGGGCCCCTCCCCGTAACGTAGGAGCTCCTACAGCCTGGTGCGTCTGGGTGGGCAGAAAGGAGCCTGGAAACTGCCTGCAAATTCATGGCATGACTGGCCCTGGGGTCCCTCGGATTCTTCCCACCCTCAAATTGAGATCCAGTAAAATTAGGTAACTTGTATGTCAAGGAAAATGCTTTTACACAGATGCCCAACCACTCTTGGGAACTGGCAGTTTTGTCCCATGTTAAGGATACAGAAACTGAGGCTCATCAGGAAGTTTGCTCAAGATCACATGGCTGATAATCAGCAGAACAGATCAAGCTCTTTTAGGAAAGCATCTCGTGGATGTCTTGTGGGGTTGTAAACAGGAACATCTGTCACTTAGTTGACTCATCTATCCCCAGGGATTGACGTTTCTCTCTTTAATATTGGCCCCAGCTCCTGGACAATCCTAAGTTCCGGGTCATCACCAAGATCAAAACCATCGGCAGCACCTATATGGCAGCTTCAGGAGTCACCCCAGACGTCAACACCAATGGCTTCGCCAGCTCCAACAAGGTAGCTAACTGTCTCCGTGGCTGGAGACGGGGCTCTGCCTCCCGAGGCAAGCAAGAAAGCAGCCCGCATGCACACGTGTGAAACAGGAAGCTACGAGGGTAGCTGATGCTACCTAGTACTGGCTGCACCAAGGGGTCACACACACCATTAGCACTATGCAACGCAGATTTAAAATCGGGTTTATTGGCAAAGTTTCACGAGCAGAGAAATAGTAGGACACACAAGCCCTCTATCAATCACTTGCACCGCTTAGCCCAGGTGTAAGCTGCTTCAACTGTGGCCATGCTCCCTTCATGTTCTATTCTTCAAAAGAACTGGGGAGTAGAAACCACCTAATTAGGTAACAATGAAGACATCCAGGTTCGGAAGTGTGATTAGAAAAGGGTTCTTCAGAGCTCATCAGCTGGCATTGGCCTGTTGTTGAATCAGACCTGTGCACCTAGCCGCTTAGCTAGCTCATTCTAGGAGAGAGGAGCTGTGGGGGCCCTGGTCCCAAGAGCTCTTCTTAAACTATTATTTTATCTTATACCTGTCCTGTACTGTGTAAGTATTGCTACCGTCTCCACTCTACGGATGAGGTTAAAGAAACGCATCTAAGATGGTTCATGACCCTTAAGCGCTCACCTAGTTCAGGAATCAAAGTGAGGCCAGCTATCTCAAAATAACAAGACCAGGTTCAGGCAAGGTGGTGATGAGGCAGGACTCCCGATCAGCTAACATGGCAGACAGGAAGTGACTCGGCTGGACAGTATTTGGCTTCCCCACCACCACCCAGGCTTTGCCCTGGACCCAAAGGGACCCAGGTGATGTGTCAGTGACATACAGAGGTAGAGGTCACAGACCCGTCTGTGGGAGGAAGTGGAGAATAAGGCCTTTAACACGTAGCTGTAGGAAGTCACCTTGAGAATACTGTGAAGGGGAGGCAGGTGCCCACACTGGCTCCTGCTGCCCTCACCCCCACTCCCTGGCACAGGAGGAAAAGTCTGACCGGGAGCGCTGGCAGCACCTGGCCGACCTGGCTGACTTCGCCCTGGCCATGAAGGATACGCTCACCAACATCAACAACCAGTCCTTCAACAACTTCATGCTGCGCATAGGTAAGGGTTTCAGGCTTGTCTGCTCCGCTGCATGCTCCTCTGACGTAAGGGACTCAGATCGGCCCTGAGGAATTTAGGTCAGGGAGGGTCACATAGTCACAGTGCTGGGACCTCAGGAACCTCTTCCAGCTGACCGGACTGTACATCTGACGAAATGACAGCTGTCTGCGTCCTCTGCCGTTGACAGCTAGAAGCGGCTTTCCGAGTCCGGCTGGGAAGTTAGGCTATTTCCCCAAGCAGCCTTGTATGCCTACCAAGGCCTTTGCTGCCTCCGTCCAGCATGTTAGGAGTTGCTGTCACCTGCTGCCCTGACTGGGGGTGGGGGCAGGGGGTGTTCACTTGAGGTACCAGGTATGTGTCACAACTGTCAACGTCCACGCTGCATAGGTCAGTGAGCATATTGGGGACGGCTGACCTTTGCCGATGACAGGATAAACTGGAGACATACCTGCCCTCTGGTGGCTTAGAGACCAGCTTCAGGAGGAGCAGGTTACAGACCTAGGAGCTTTGTGGTTGGGGTCATGTGGTCAATTCTCTGGGAGAGGAGGTGGTGGCTTCTGAAATGGGATAATGACAAAATATGTCACATGTGGCTGTGCTTAACTTTATGCTTCTACACCAGGCATGAACAAAGGTGGGGTACTGGCTGGGGTCATTGGAGCCCGGAAACCACACTATGACATCTGGGGCAATACAGTCAACGTAGCCAGCAGGATGGAGTCCACAGGGGTCATGGGCAACATTCAGGTACGTCCAGCAAGAGAGCAGAGCGTGTGCTCAGACCCAGGGACCGGGAACAAAGTTGGAATAGGGCATGCTTTGCAATGCAGTACTGCTTCCTTTCTGTTGGCTCAGAATATCAAGTTGGTACTTCTGGGAGATTAAAGCCAGGGGGTGGGGGTGGGGGTGGGAGGAAGGGATGCCTCAGTGGAAGGGAGGAAATACTTCAACCCCATTTCCAAAATCTAGGCTGAAGTTCCTGGTAAGCCTATCCCGCCTCTTGGTAGGAACTAATATTTTATGCCTCCAAGAGCCACCCTCATAACAGAAAACTGGCATAAAGTATGGAGAGGGGACAAAAGAGTGTGTGTACTATCATACTGGTGACCTGAGGCTGTCCTCTAGAGACAGGGAGCACTGTCCCCAGGAGAGGAAAAGGCCCCAGCAACCCTGCATCCCGTCCCTGTCCAGCCTGGGCCTGCTGGCTCGCAGATAAGGGACTTGGCCCAAGGTGTGGAGAGGAGCGTTCCAGGCGGGCTGACTGGGGCCTGCGGGCCACGTGTGGACACCTTCTGGGCAGCTGTGGTCTGAGCTCACGATGTTCTCCCTCCACAGGTGGTGGAAGAAACACAAGCCATCCTTCGGGAGTACGGCTTCCGCTTTGTGAGGCGAGGGCCCATCTTTGTGAAAGGGAAAGGAGAACTGCTGACCTTTTTCTTGAAGGGGCGGGAGAAGCCAGCGGTCTTCCCTAACGGCTCCTCGGTCACCCTGCCCCACCAGGTGGTGGACAACTCCTGAACGGCCGCCAGCCCCACAGCAGTCCGAACGGGAAGGGAGAATCTGGTTTCTGGGATCAAAGAAAGGCCTTGGAAAGGACAAAGGACCAAGTCCCAACCTGCCCAAACTGTTGAAGTGCACACTCACATAGACTTTAGGTTTAAAAATCTCCTCAAGCCTTCATTTGTTCATGGATGCGTGAGCTCTGAGGGTGGCCATACTATTCCTCAGCGTGCCTGTAGCTTCCTCAGAGAGTAGGGGTCTTAGGCATAGTACTGGAACAATCCTTCCAGAGCCCCGGGTCTGACAAGCCCTCCTTCCCCCAGAGAGGCCATGGCCACTGTGAGCAGGAACGTATCCAAGGTGGAACCAAGCTGCCTTTACCGCCGGGCTGCAGGCGAGGACCTGGAGGGCCTGGGCAGCTAGCAGACAGCCGTGCCCCCCAGCGCACGCGTGGAAGCCGTCTCCAAGCCGGGGGAGCCGCCGGCCTCTGGGTGGGCCGGGCTGGGCGAGCCGGCCCTCACGCTCGTGTTCCTGATAATCTTGAATGGTTCTTCTGGAACCCCTGCCACCTTAGTCGTGAGAGCAGAAAGTGCAATATCTCCTTTTACCTGGTGGGAGGGAGGGAAAGGGAATTTATTTCTGAGAGAAAAATATATAAACAGATCTTCTACATTTATATTTTTAACTTTCTGTTAAACACTTTCCGATATTGCCTTGCCTCTTGAGCTCTTGCTACAGTCGCCTTTGCTACTGCTTTAAAAGAGAATTTACAGGTATTGATAAAGAACAAGACTGTTTTATTAAAAGCTTTATTCAACTTGGATGTGCTCCTTGTGAAAATTCTGTGAATACCACTCATCTGAGAAGCACAGGACTTTGCTAACTCACACTCACCCTTACCAAGTGCCTAGAAGGCAAGCGCCTGAACCAAGACATCTCTTACTCTCAAGCTGCTTTCTCCTAAGTGGGGGTCTAAGCTGGCTCGCCCTGTGCCCCCACATACGTACCGTACTTCCTGGTCATTGGGTCTAGAAAGGGACCATGTTAGAGGCTTGGATGCAGCTCTGGGACAGGAAGGGGGGGGCGGTCATGATTCCTACTAGTCAGGGGAGGAGGTGGAGGAGACACTGGGGCCGGGAACTTGCAGAAGAGAAAGGATGGAGGTCTGCCTCCCTCTGTAACCACAGAGATTGAGCAGACTTCTGCTTTTCGATGGCTGACTTAATACATTTAACTAACATGTAGAAAACAAAGTATTAGCTACATTGAACACTGATTATCCACAGTACTTTCTCACACCATATTCTTTATAAAACGGAGGCCTAGAATACACTGCTTCAAACTAAAAATCAAACATGTTTTCCTTAACTGCCTATCAGGAACCTATGATGTTCTGAAAACTTTAGTTTCAAAAGACTCAGGAAAATGAGGCAGAATTAAAACTTTCATCAAAGCTATACTCTTCAGTTGAATGATACACACTCCCTCTTTCACAGAATGCCTTCTGCCCCCCACACATTGTGATTTTCAGCTAAAGAGGATGATCAAATCAATACCTCAATTGTCCAAACTTGCCCCCTACCTTCATGATGAGGTGAATGTTCTCAGTGCAACATTCAGACCCCAGGCAAGGGGTCTGAACCTTCCAATAGTTTTCAGTTCCCAGGACCTAGCCTGGGACTGCACACAGTATTACTTTACTCACTTTTGATGTGCTCCCAATGAAAATAATATTCTAGGAGACCAGGCTCATATCCAACTTTTCTCCTTTTCTTGTAAACGAAGTAAACACTTGATGCAGGGGCTTTGTTAAAAATAGATTTTCATGGGATGCTCGCTGTTCTTCCCACGAAGTGGACAATGCATCCGTCCCTAAAACAGAGTATACCAATCTCATTTAGTGCAGCTGGGGAATCTGAACCTGGGTCACTGATGTTTTGGACGTAACTTTTTTTTTTTTTTTGTGGTCTGGAGGAGGCTGCCTTTTATTGGACCAATGAAGTTGTTGTTGTTATTTTTTTTTTTTTATTTCTAGGAGAGAGAGAGAGACAGCGTGAGCAGGGGAGGGTCAGAGAGAGAGGGAGTCACAGACTGAAACAGGCTCCAGGCTCTGAGCTGGCAGTCAGCACAGAGCCCGACGCGGGGCTCGAAGCCACGAACCGCGAGATCATGACCTAAGCAAAAGTCAGACACTCAACAGACTAAGCCACCCAGGCGCCCCTATTGGACCAATGAAGTTTTGAGACCTGAATAGATTCTGCCCCAAAGCCTAAAAACTACAGTGTGAAATCTCTGGCAGTTTCAAAATTTCCATCTCCTAAAAATATTTTATCCCATTTTTCATTATTGCCCATGTCACATTACAACAGTACATTTAACTATGAAACTATATCATAGTCTCAGCTAGCCCTAAAAACTTCCCATCCACAGAAGAGTCTCTAGAGAGCGAAGTGTACACTTATTTGTCTCTCTGGCTTCTTAGTGAGAGGAGACTTTTGGCTCTCTTCATCAAAAGCGGCCCTCTGAGCCTCAGTAGCTGTCGCTCTTCAAGAGGAATCTCCAAAGAAAACAAATCTTAAACTGAAGGAGCCTTAGCAGAGTTGGATGGAGCCAAAGAGAGGGAACGAGGGTAATTATGTTTACTACCTACAAAAAGGAGAGAAAAAAATGAAAGAAGGAAGGAATATATTCAGGGCACCTGGGCGGCTCAGTCAGTTAAGCGTCTGACTACTCCCGGTTTGTGAGTTCAATCCCCACACTGGGCTCTTTGCTGTCAGCACAGAGCCTGCTTTGGATCATCTGTGTCCAACTGTCTCTGCCCCTCCCCTGCTCACTCTCTCAAAAATAAACATTAAAAAATATATTAAAAAATATTCTTTGTATTTTATGGAGTAAATTTCTAGATTAACCAAAGAATGGGTCTCCAAAGGTCCAACACACGTAGTCTACCTATTTTACCCTGTTTCATTCAACCTGACTAGCGCAGAGAACATTATAATTTCTTCGCTGAGGCATGCTTCTTCCTCTCACCTTGGTACGTAATGGTGACGTCAGTCGGAAGGGTTGTTGTGAGGTCCTTATACAGCAGTCTAGCACAAAATGGGAACGACTGACCATCTGCCTCCACTTTGTAAGTAAACGACAGCAAGTTGCACAGCGAGTTTCTCCGCAAGGGCCCAGCCAGAAAGCCTGCAAAGTCACTCTAAGGGGTGGGGGGTCAGAGAAGACAAAATGTTATGATTACAGTTCCAGAGGCAGTGAGTGGTTGTGACACTTCAAACAGGTCTACAAAAAAGGGCCCATTAATCAAATTTCAGAGAAATAAAAGACAGAGAAAAGCCTATAAAAAGGACTAATGATTAAGATGTGTAAGAGTTGGTGGCACCCTAGAAAGGCCTGCAGAAAGCACTAAATAAATGGCCAGGGGCTGGGGGCACAAGGAAGATACAATTTCTGCCAAGAATTCCGCTGTCGTCATGTAGTTGGCTAAGACACTCCTGTGTCTGAGTTTACGTTTAGTGTAAGTTTAACTGACAACTAAGAGCTTCAGAGTCCTAAACGCATGGGTGGAACACAGCTTCTAGAAAGTCATATATTCCTTATCTGTATCCATTTCCTGTCTACTTAAAAGCAATTTCTTTCTTACCCAACCCTACACCAATGCAACCCCAAGAAGGCAGGCCAGAGTTCAGGCAAAGATGGATAGTATTCCTCAATGGATGATTCTGCTTTGCGTCTATACCTAAGGCTCAGCAAGGCACCTGGCACATAGTAGGTACTCTATAAATCCCTGAATTAAAAGTACAGAAACTGTACAGGCATGCCTCAAAGATACTGTGGGTTCAGTTCCAGACTTGCAATGAAGCAAGTCAAGTGAATTGTTTGGTTTCCCAGGACAGTTATATTTACATACTACCCTGCAGCCTATTAAGTATGCAATAGCATTATGTCTAAAAAAACCAATGTGCATACCTTTTTAAAGTTTTTTAAATTTATCTACTTTCAGAGAAAAATTGAGAGAGAGGAGCAGAAAGAATCCTAAGCAAGCTCCACACTATCAGTACAGAGCCCAACATGGGGCTTTATCTCACCAACTGTGAGCCATGACCTGAGCTGAAATCAGGAGTAGGTCGCTTAACTGAGCCACCCAGGCGCCACCCAATGTGCAGATGTTAATTAAACCATTGTCCTTCATGTAGTCTACCTATTTTACCATTTCATTCAACCTGAGTAGCGCAGAGCACATTATAATTTCTTCGCTGAGGCATGCTTCTTCCTCTCACCTTGGTACATAATGGTGACGTCGGTCTGGAGGGTTGTTGTGAGGTCTTTACACAGTAGTCTAGCACAAAATGGGAATGACTGACCATTTGCTGAAAAATGCTAATCATCATCTGAACTTTTTAGTGAATCATAATCACTGATCAGATCACCATAACAAATAATAAAAAAGTTTGAAATGTTGAAAGAATTGCCACAATGTGACACACAGACAAAGTGAGCAAATGCTGCTGGAAAAATGGCACAGATAGGCTTGCTCAACACAAGGTTGCCACAAACCTTCAATCAGTAGGAAAACACAGTATCTGCAAAGCATAATAAAGAGAAGTACAATAAAACGAGGGATGACTACTTTTGTGAAGGGAAGAAACGGTCAAGTATAAAAGCCTGAGGACCACCAGTCAGGAGTGAAAAATCCCTTAACCGGTATCCACGCTTGAACAGCATCCAGAATTTCAAAAGGAGAAAAAGGTGGAAAATAGCTTGTATAAAAATAAGAAACATGCATCAGAAGGACAATGGTCAAACTTCTGGCTCAGAATTATAAAGCATTTTAAATACAAAAGAGAGGTGGGCTGGGTGGCTCAGTAGGTCATGATCCCTGGATCATGGGATGGAGACCCATGGGAGCTCTGTGTGGAGTGTGAAGCCTGCTTAAGATATTCTTCCTCTCTCTCCCTCTGCTCCAATCCTCTACTTGAGTGTGCTCTCTAAAATAAAAAAATAAAATAAAAAACTTGCCTCCCACATTTTTTTCACCTTTTGAGCCTATTCTGGGCTAATAAAACCTATGTAAGATACCAGACAGATACCTGAAGTTGATCTGCCTGGTACTTCCTTCCGGCATAAGCATTTAGGTATTCACAGAGACAGAACAGGAAGTGCTGAATATCAGTCTGTAAGTACTTTGCAGAGAGCTCCTCTAGGGGAATGAAGACCGGAATTGAATGGTGATGTATCCGAAGTGGCTTCTGTATGATAAGGTCAACAAAATAGGAATCCAGCAGATTTCCCTCAAAAGCAGTGCTGATGCAGACACAGACCCCGCGGCTGGTCAGTTTCCCACTGAGCCCTGAAGCAAACAAGTTGATACTGTCAACACAGGTCACCAAAGGTAGTGTCTTTCTCAGCTGTGCAATCACTTCAGCACTGCCTCATACGTACAACAGGTGTTCAAATGTTTGTTGAATGAACATCATAGACTTTATTCTGACTCTGGCTCACTTCAAATTTGAGTTGTTAAAACCATGGAAGATGGTAGAGAAGATAAAACATCCTCAGATCAAATTACGGAAGAAGAGATTTAAGAATTTTCATTTTACCTCTTCTTCTTCTGGGTGTCAAATAAGGTACGACAGTCTAGTTCCTTCCACAATCCTCTTATGCCACAGATAACGGGCAGGATAAATCCCCATTTTAACAGGAAAACAGAGACTTAATAGGTTGAAACAACTTGACCGGTGGCATCAAGCCAGCCAGCAGCAAAGGCAGTTCTACCATAGGGTCCGGCACACACTAAAGAGCTAAAATGAACAGTCTAAGCTGGCCATCAACCATCTTCTGCAAAAACAGGCCAATTTTGTAGGTAAAAATGCCTACACACAGCACACCAGCTTTGCGTGTGTAGGCTGAAGGCGGCAAAATCCATGCTCATGAAATAAGTCCAGGACTACTAATATCTAGCAAACCGACTCACTAGAGACAAGAGACTCAGACTGAAACAGGTCAGAAAATAAATTATACCTGTAAAACGATATGCCTGCAGAATGGCTTTCATATTTTCCTGTTTTCCTTCCACAGCTTCTTGCTCATCGACCTCCAATGTTTGGTCGGGTTCTACACTGGCAGTAGATGCTTTAACCTGCAAAATATGCAGCAAATCACACTGGGTAAAAGGGACATAGCACAGGGTTCTTGCCCTCACATAAGTGGGAAAAAAGCTAAAGGCAGAGTATTTTTTTTTTATATTATGTAATAACTGAAGAAATGCTACAGTGACCAGTTAGTGCTATGAATTCACAAGAAAGGAAGAATCTTGTGGGTCGCGGTGCTAGGAATCAGGAGAAACTGTGCCGGCCTGAAGAATTAGGGCTTTGGTGGAAATGGAGAGTACTGTGAGAGGTAAAAGAAAAGGGTGTAAAGCAAGTCTAGGATAAGAAGAGGGCAGCAAAGCAATGAAAACATGACATACCACAACTCGCGGGATCTAGTCAAAGCCACGTGCTAGTCACTGAATGTTTGTATCCCTCAAAATTCGTATGCTGAAACCTAATGCCCAATGTGATGGTATCTAGAGGTAGGGCCTCTGGCTGGTGATTACATCACAATATTGGCACCCTCGTGAATGAGATTAGTGCTCTTGTAAGAGACCCCAGAAAGCTAGCTCACCCCTTCTAGCATGTGAGCTACAGTGAGAAGACTATCATCAATGAGGAAGTAGGTCCTCATCAGACACTGAATTTGCTGGGTCCATAATCTTGGACTTCCCACGCACTAGAACTGTGAGAAGCAGGTGTGGTTGACAAATCACCCAGTTTATGGTACTTTTGTTCCAATAGCTCATACTAAGACATTGTGCTTAGTGAAAAATTTATAACCTCACATACAAAAAGGGGAAAAGACAGACTAAAAATAACAGTAAGTATTCACCTCAGGAAGCTAAAAAGCAACTTATATCCAAAGAAAAGGAAGGGGATAATGATGAGAAGATATCAATGAAAATACAACACAAACGTGTAAGAGAGAAATATCAATAATGCCAAAGTTGGTTTTCTAATAAAACTAATTCAAGACTGATGATAACAAGACTGATCGAGGAGAGAAAAAAAGTGGAAGAGGATCACAAATTACCAATATCAGAATAAAAAATGAAGCAATATTGATCAATCCTATTCACAAGATAGTTGTTTAAGAAGGTTCAAACAACTTTAAATGCAAATTCAGATGAAATGGACAAATTTCCTGAAATGCAATTTACCAAAGATGACCCAAGAGAAAACAGGAAATATAAAAGCTTTATATTAATCAAAGTAATTGAATCAGAAACTTAAAACCTTCCCACAGAGGAGGCCCAAAGTTTTACCCGGTAGTTCTTTACAAAAATTTAAGGAAAAACCACACCAATTTTATATAAACTTTTCCAAGAAACAGAAAAAAGAGGAAACTATCTCAACTTGTTTCTAATACCAGGTTAAAGGTGATGCCAAAACCTGAAAAGGGCATTATATTAAAAAAAAAAAAGAAAGAAAGAAAAGAAAAATCACAAGACAATCTCAAGAATTTAGATGTAAAAGTCCTATTAGCAAATATTAGCAAATAGAATTCAACATTATATAGAAAGGCAATACATCAAACCAAAGTAGGTTTATTCTAAAAATGTAAGCCATTATCAAACACCAATCAATATGTATCACATTAACAAAAGCCATACAACCACCTTAACGTATGCAGTAAAAACATTTGATAAAATTCAATACTTGATCACAATTAACTCTAACAAGCTAGATATAGAAGAGCATTTCCTTAATCTGATAGAGTATGTATATACATAACTTAGAGCAAACAGGTTGACTCTAAGACTATTTCCACTCAACAACATACGGAACAAGTTAGCCAGCAGAATAAAGGCAAAGAAAACAAGTTACAAGGATCGGAAAGAAGTAAAACTGTTACTGTTTGCATATGACCTCACTCCAGATGTAGAAATCCCAAAAGAATAGAGAGAGAAATAGAATTAATGCAGATACAGCAAAGTTGTCATAAAGTCAATATATAAAAATCAAGTATATTTCTACACAATCTAAGAACAAAATTTCTAAAAAATAGTACCATATATCAGGAACTATTAAAATATGAGTTGTGGGCCAAACCTACATTGACACTTATTTTTGTAAATAAGCTTTGGCTGGAACACACCCACTAATGTACAGATTGTCTAGGGCTGCCTCACAGTACAGCAGCAGGGCCGAAGAGTCACCACAGAGAACACGCGGCTCACGAAGCCTAAAATAACAACCATCTGGCCTGACAAAGTCTGCTGACCCCTGCCACATGCATTAACATCAGGAAAAATCAAATACATAGATCAATACACTGAATGATGTTTAAGACCTCTACACATAAAACTGCACACATTACTGAGAGAAATAAAAGACCTAAATAAATGAAAAGATACAATCATGTACACTGATTAGAAAATGCAATGCTGAAAATATTTCAAGTCTCTCCAAACTGGTGTACGATTCAATGCAATCCCAATCAAAACTATAGGTGTGTGTTTTGGAAATTGATGGCTGATACCCAAATTTCTGTAAAACCCAAGGGGCCAAGAATAGCCAGGATTATTCTGAAGATGATAACATACATGATATGTATCCAAACTCACAGTAAATAAATCTCTTGTACCAGCATGAATACAAACAGACCAATGGAACAGAAGTTAGAAACAGGCCTGCAGCGGCCCCAAAGATCCATTACAACACAACAGGAAAAGAGCAGACGTCAAAAAGCGTAGCAGAGGCAATGGATATCCACGTGGAAAAACAGAAGTAGTAATACGACCTCAACTTCATCCCATACACAAAAATCCCTTCCAGACAGACTGTAGTTCTGAAAGCAAAAGTACAACAGAGCTTTTAGAAAATACCACAGAACATCATCATCATCTCAAGTTAGGCAACAAGAGCAATAAGTATAAAATTAGATTCCTAAATCAAACCTCATTAAAGTGAAGACTTTCTTTTTATCACAAGACACCACTAGAATGAAAAGGCAAGGGGGGGTGGGCGTCTGGGTGGCTCAGTCAGCTAAGCATCCAACTTCTGTTCAGGTCATGATCTCGTGGTTCCTGAGTTCGAGCGCGCATCGGGCTCTGTGCTCTCCAGCTCAGAGCCTGGAGCCTACTTTAGACTGTATGTCTCCCTCTCTCTCTCCCCCGTTCATGCTCTCTGTCCCTCAATAATAAATAAATGTTTAAAAAAATTTTTTTAAATAAATAAAAGGAGTGAAAAGGCAAGTCACAGTCTAAGATACACGAAACAAAGAACTCATATCCAAAATATGTAAACAATTCGACAATTCAGTAAGAGGTAGACAACACAATAAAATTTTTGCAGAAGACTTGAAGACCTTATTTCACAACAGAAGACTTTCCAGTCTCCAACACAGGTACTTAACAGCATTAGTTATCAGGCAACTGCAAATTACTCCACCATGAGATACTGTGACACTCCTGCCAGAGTGACAAACTTTTTAAAGCTCACAATATCAACTACTGGTAAATATGCAAAATGAGGGAAATCATTTATATGGGTGCTGGGAATGTAAAATTGGTAGAATCACTTCCAAGACCTGTTTGGCAGTATTTACTAAGGACAAATGTGACCTAGCAATTCTACAAGGTATACACCCTATAGAAAAGTACACATTTTTACAACAAAGACAGGAACAAGAATGTTTCACAGCTCCGAAGTGAAACAACCAAAATAACCCAACTATCACCAACAATACAATTAGGGGATATTCATAAAATGAAATCACTATACAACAGTAAAAGATAATGACCTCTAGGTGCACCGGAATGGACAAATCTCACAGACAACATTCAAGCCAAACAAGTCAGACATAAGTTTATACTCTTTACATTTACATGAAATCCAGTGATGTAGTGTCTTATGAAGCGTTTTCTTGGCTGGGCAAGAGTTGCCGGAGAAGCCGATACGCAGGAAGAGAAACAAGCAGGCTACTGGAACAATCCTGGCATCCCGGTCACCTGGTAAACATTTACAACATATGTGGATAATACTTGGAAGCACAAAGACAATCTAAAAGGAAATTTGAAAGGTCTTGCTGACTTATCCTGGCCCAGAGAGAACACTGAGGAGAGGGAAGAGTCAAAGTTCACTGTGAGGTTTCAAGTCTAAAAGGGAAAGATGGCGCTAATGACAAAAATACCAACGACCCGTCAGGCTGAGACTGAGGAACAGCTCCGGTATGAGTGCAGGTTATGAAGAGCTTACCTGCCCTATCAGTAACACCTGACAGTTATTTGTTTACACTGATATTGGCTGACTCTACAGAACTGATCATTTGAGAGGTCAAGACTGAAATCAATCCGGTAAGATCACAGGTAAAACCCATTATACAAATCTGTTAGGTCCCAGATCATGCTGATTCTCTATGCTCCGGCAAAGCCGGCTAAGATGGCCCCTGTACTCACTCTGGCTTGACGGTGTTTCACTTCAGCTCTGAGCCTATCGCGCAGACCCTGCAGTTGATGAATCTTGGTCCCAAGAGCGCTCTCTACAGTCTCTCTCTGCATATCTTCTAAGTTTTTACAGGATCTCTTCGTTTGCATCTCTAGTCTTTCCAGGTGAGCTAAAACACCTGAGGAAAGTAAAAAGGCAATTTCACAAGCATCCAGGGACTTCTAACTCTGGCCACAGGAAGAATTTCAGGGATTTACAGAGGGTTAACCCCCTTCTTAGAATTTTGGCCAGCTAAAATGTTAGACACTGGCCGCAATTTACAAAACCAGAGGAGATGACAACAGGAATCAAGAATGAGCCATCTTGGGGCACCTGGATGGCTCAGTTGGTTAAGCGTCCGACTTCAGCTCAGGTCATGATCCCACAGTCGTGGGTTCGAGCCCCGCGTCAGGCTCTGTGCTGACAGCTAGCTCAGAGCGCGGAAGTCCACTTCGGATTCTGTGACTCCCTCTCTCTCTCTCTGACCCTCCCCTGCTCACGCTGCCTCTCTCTCTCTCAGGAAATAAAAAAAAAAAAAAAAAGAATGAGCCATCTTGTAAGTTGAGCACTAATGTACAAGCAGTTCTGACCAGGACACTGTCCAAAGCGAGCATTATCTGCATATAACTCACTCAGTTATCTATGATAAGGACCAGGGAAAACAGAATCACCAAATTCACGGACTCTCTCAGAAACTGGTTTAAAAATGTCGATTTTTAAAATTGGCTTTTATGCATGTTTCCCTAAAGTGCTAATGAGTAACTCTTGGGATTTGGACATCCAGAGAGTTTTGTTTTGAAGCTCTGAAAAGTATTATTCACACAGGACTGTAAAGATACACACTGAAGGGAACTGTCCACCAATATTACTGGGATTTAGAAAGGAAAACAAGTTCACCGCTGGACAGAAATTCAAAGGCAAATATCAGTTCCCAAGAGATTAAGGACCATCACAGTTTCATAACGCCAATGCTAACAATAAAGCATTTGCTCAACATTTCCTACACATTACGACTTTGTGCTAGGTGTTATTACTTGCACACCATGTAAAGAAGTAAAGTATGAAAGGGCACCTCGGGAGCTCAGTCGGTTAAGTGTCGACTCTTAACATCAGCTCAGGTCACGATCTCACAGTGGTGGGATCAAGCCCTGGGTCAGACTCTGTGCTGACAATGCGGAACCTGCTTGGGATTCTCTCTCTCCCCCCTCTCTCTGCCCGTCCCCTCCTCATGCTCTCTATCAAAATCAATAAGCTTTAAAAAAAAAAAAAAAAAGAATTAAAGCGTGAAGATAATTAATTTCTTATTTCCACAACCATCACCATAAGGCTACTATTTGCCTCCCATTTTCCAGATGAAGAAATTAAGGCACAGAGGTAAAATTAACTTGCCCAAGGCAACGTTATTTTCTAATGGCAGAGCCAGGGCACACCCAGGTCTAATCAACACCAAAATCACTGCTTGGCACCCATCCTTCCACAGGTGTAATGCATAAATGACCCCCACAAAAAATCCCGGAGAGGAAGGAGACCTCACTGGCTAGAAATGTAGCTCCGAATATAAACACTAAGCATATTATGAACACAACCCATCCGTTGAAAAAAGGGCAGGAGCCTAGGAAACGTCTGAAATAATTTCCCGTGTGCAATGAATAATCCTAGCTGCCTGTGCCTTTCAGTCTTCGGTGTTCGGTCTTTTCACCATAACGCTCCCAAACAGGCCGGGTCACACACCCGTTAGAGGAAGGGGCTTCGGCAGCAGTACTAGGGGGAAAAGGCGGCCCTTTGAATACCTCCTTTGGATTTGTCATTCGCCCACTCCATCTCGGATTCCCACAGGCCTTCCTATGAAGTTGCGCAGGCAAGCCTTAATAGGGACTCAGATTTCCTTGCTGGTGAAAGAAAAAAAGCAAGAAAGTCACGTCTATTCACAGCAAGGCGCACACAACTTAGGTACGCATCGTCGGGTGTCCCCCAGACCGCTCAAGTGACACCGCCAGGACTCCCCTTCCCTACCCCGCCTTCCCTGCCCCTGCCCGTCCGCCGGTCATAGCCGGCAGTGTCCCCGTCTACCTGGCCCCGCATGTGTTCCAAACATGGCTTTAAGAGGCTGTCCAGCCTTCCACCCCGGCCACGGTCCCGTCCGTCACCAGGTCTTCTTTTCCCTTACCTCCTCTCCTCTCGCTCACCCAGGCCAAGGTTGAGAGTTCCCGCCGTCCACGCCTTCAAAACCACACCAAGCGGACCCAGCGTGCTTTGCGCCTCCACCGTACAAAAACATGGCGGCGCTCAAGGCCCCTCCCTCATCCCGGCATGCACCGGGGAGTAGGGCCGGTCTTTCTGTGGGCCCGGAAGATGGCGGCCTCTGGCGCAGAGCCGCAGATCCTAGTCCAGTACTTGGTGTTACGAAAGGATCTATCGCAGGCTCCATTCTCCTGGCCAGCAGGCGCACTGGTAGCGCAGGCTTGTCACGCAGCCACCGCGGCCTTGCACATTCACCGCGACCACCCCCACACGGCAGCTTACCTTCAGGACCTGGGGCGCATGCGCAAAGTGGTCCTCGAGGTGAGGCGCCCGGCGGTGTGGGAGGGGTGCCGAAGCCGATGAGACCGGAAGTGGGTATGGTTTTGAGGCAGCGGCTTAACTTCGTAGAGTAGGTGTGGCGTTAGTGGGGAGACGTCTTCTAAGCAAGCTTTGGAGAGGTTTCAGAGACTTAAGCGATTGCCCAGGGAGCTTTCCCTCGGCTGGTCGGGGGCCTGCCAGAGTGAAGAGTGGGCATTGGGTGGTTACTAAGACTTCCGCCCCCCCCCCCCCCCCCCCCCCTTAGTAGATGTGTGTGAGGATAAGGCCGGTGGAATGAGACTCTGCCCTGCTGCCTGTGCGCTGGCCGGGCCTCTTAGTGCCTGGCCCAAAGGTACTGCCCCACTTCCTCCCCGAAAAACCGATTAAGACGGGAGAAGGACACGGGCTTCCTTTCTGCAAGTGAGGTCAAACTGAACCATTACCGAGGTATGACACCTTATTATTTGAAAAATAAATGTGTATATAATAAAAATGGAACCTAGCTTCATAAATACCAGGTACCGCTGGTGTAAAATAGAGGTGAGGTTCGTTTTGCAGGTGGCCAAACAGATCTCACCCTTATCTTTTCCTTTTGTCAATTCTGCTTCTAGAAGTGTAACCTGGGAAGGTATCAGATATCAGACGCATTGAAGAGCATTGTATAGATCAGGAGTATTCAAAGGAGCACTTATAATAGTAAAGAATGTGGAAATTACCACATTTCCAGTACTATTGACTGGTTCATTTTATGCCCTTAAAATGTGCTATTATAAAGCTAGTATAAATCACGGTTTTGAAGCATATTTAGTTGGCATGGAAGAGTGTTCATTATGTTATGCTAACCGAACTATATTCTACCTACAAAATGATTCAGATTTGGAAAGGAAAAACTAAGGAAATACATCCACATATTGAGCAGGTGGTGAGATTTGGGTTATTCTTTAATGCTTCTCTATTTAGTTTTCTACATTAAGCACATATTTTACTTTACGTTTTAAAATTTTATTTTTTATAAAATTTATTTTAAACAAACTAGAACCCTAGGGTGGAGATGGGGTAATCCCTTAATGACCAGCTGACAAAGCAGATTATCTTTCAAGAGAAAATTTTCTGTTGGATAGTAAAACATCAGTCAGTAACCTAGGGGAACGCGTCTTGAGAATCTATGAGTAGACGGAGAAGCAGCAGATAGTATTTCATTTAGACTTTTTATAGGAAGAGGACCTCAAGAATTTATCTGGTTCACACATCCTCATCTCCTTCATGTTCTGGCAGATAATGTATTTACCCCTTTTCTCAGATGAGAGATCTGAAGCCTACAGAGATTAGGTGACTTCCCTTAAGTCTAAAAGATACCTGATGAGAGGTGCCTGGATGGCTCCGTCCATTGAGCATCCAATTCTTGATTTCAGCTCAGATCATGATCTCGTGGTTCGTTTTGTGAGAGATGGAGCCCTGAGCTATTAGCACAGATTCTCTCTCTCTCCCTCTCTATCTGTCCCTCCTCACTCATGCTTCCTTTCTCCCTCAAAATAAATAAGTAAACTCAAAGGTCATCCAGTCACTAAGTGCAGAGCAAGAGTTTGGACTCCCTCTAACTCACTGTCCTTTGCTACTATGTGGTGCTGAAGAAGAGGGAGGGGAAGTTCATGAGTTCTCCAGCGTGGCTGTGCCCGGAGGACACTAGCTAAAGAGTGGCAATCCCTGCATCCTCCTATTTGATGAGACAAACCTCTAGTTATCTGAGTGGCTTCTGCCTTTACAGGCAAAAAATATACCTTATGCCAAATAACACACTAATTATCTTTGAGTGCTACTTTAATGCTTCCTATTAATGGAGTCAGCATGGTGATAAGGATGATAAGAAAGACTCTAAGAAGGACGTTAGAGAATGGTTTGCCCTCTGAGCTAACAAGTGGGAACTGTCCCAGCAGAAAGAAAACCTTTCCAGGTTTGGGTGGGGTCCGGTGGGAGGGGAGGATGGAGCTGGAGGTGATAGGTTGTTAGAAATCTTTTCATAGTCCACTCGTAACATCAGAGCCGGCTAACGGACTAGGGATAGCTGTATGGGCAGCAGCCATAAGAGAAGTAGAAAATCTAGAGAGCACCATTACTGATAATGCATACAGCATCTCAGGAGGGAAGAGAAAAATCTTTTCCATTTTAGAAACAAGCATATTAAGCCTCTCCCTCTCCTACCCCCAGGCAGCTTATCTAAGGTCCTACAGAGAGTGAATGGCAAATGGGGCAGTGAAGCTATTGCTTCTGGAGATGTGGTCTATTGAGAGAGCTGTTCTCCACTTTTCAGTCCGGAAGAACCCCCCCCCCGCTCCCCCCCACCCCACTCCACGCTTTATTTTTCATTGCCTTCTGACATTTCCTAAATGGGCCCTTCAAAATCTGTGTTCTGTGCTCTGCTCCTGGTAGGCTGCAGATGAAAGCACCCTGAAGGAGCTGGCTGACACCCTACAACAGAAGAACATTGACCACGCGCTATGGCTGGAGCAGCCAGAGAACATCGCCACTTGCATTGCGCTCCGTCCTTACCCCAAAGAAGAAGTGAACCAGTATTTGAAGAAGTACCGATTGTTCAAGTGACTCATGCTGTCAGTTGCCTTGATATATTTATCAGCTGGATCCAGAAACTGCATGCCACCCATCCCTAAGCATCATGTACTCCTTTCAGTGGCAACTCGCTCTTCTCTTTAGGCTGTGAGTGTTTCTGGAGGGTCAGACGCATGTTCATATTAAAGTTGTCGTTAATAAGTACTTCCTCTAATTTTTTTTATTTTTAATTTGTTCAGATGGGGAAAGTAGGTGAGCAGCAATATTATCTGTGGGTCAAAGCTCAAATAGATTTGGTTAGACTCCTATCCAGGGATCAAGGAAACACCCTTCCTTCTTTATTAGGAATAACAGAGTTCTTCCAGGCACCCAGGTTTACAATTTTGCCTTTGAATTCTTTATTTCTTATTCACATCCAGATATACTCTTTGAATCTAGGACAATATCAACTTCAAGATACACTATTACTTTACATGTTGTTAAGAGAGAAGAGATGCTTCCAATTAAGATATGTGATTAACCATAAGATGCATTTCCGTTTCAAAGGTGTTAAAATACACATATGCACGCACATACAGACAAATACATACTTGATGAAATTTGTCAAGAACTGCATCTATCGTAGTTTTCAGTGCTACCACCCGTATCGGGCCCTCATTTTGTTCATCAGAGTGTCCCACTGGCCTCCCCACCTCCTTTGTGTCCCGGCTACAACCCAGCAGAATTTCTGACACCAGGTTTATTTAGGATCATTGAGCACCCTGTTCAGTGTAGACTCCCACTTGCCCTTAGAATAAAGGTGGAACTCTTCAGCGTAGCCTTCAGACCTTTCTCGTTTATACTTCCGACCCACTTTTTTAAGTTTATCTTCTACTCTTTCCTAATCCAAACTTGAGGTTTCAACAAAGGTACTCCAGTTGCTGCCCCCCATCTCTGGCCTGGGAGTCAAGTGTTCATACTCTTCCCTCCCCATTCCCACATCTGGACTTCAAACTATTTCTGGCTCAAGTTTGATCACCGTCACGGAGTCTTGCCCAACCCCAACGGATAGTGCGCTTTCTGAACCTCTAGACCACTCTACAATATTTTACGTATTTCTATAAACATTTGGAGACATCTACAGACATTGCTTGGACATCTGTGAAGCAAAGGTCATAAAGGGTAATGTGGCCAGCAGATAATCTGTTGCAAGTCTGCTGTGGCAGGCTGTCTTAAGAGAGGATATAAGGATGAACGGAAGTTTTTGCCTCCAGGTAGCGAGGATTCTAATAAGAAGACAGATACCTAGATAATCCATGCAGAGAAAATTGTACCAGGTAATGTGGGTATACTTTCCCCTTTCCCTCTAGATACCAAGATGACGAAGATGCTAGATACAAAGGTTTTCTGTTGTAAGAGATGGTTGTTTCCAACATCCAGAGAGTGGATGGGAGAATTGGTAGGGTGCCGAGGGCAGGACCAGTTCCAGGAAGCCAAGTGAATAAGAGATTCAGGAGGGGAGAGCAATCAAGTGCTGCATGGAATTTCAGCATATAAGTACTGAAAACATTGAGCAGTTGGGAACATACTGGTAAACTTGCTGAAAGCAGTTGAAATAGCATATGAGGGTGGGAATCTGACTGCCATCTATTGAGACAAAAATGTGAGGGGAGACGAGGTGGGGACTATTACAGGAAACTCGAATAGGAGAAGGTAATGATTGAAAGGGGGGTGGAAAGGTGAAGCTGGGTTCCACAGCGGAAATTTTCTTAGATGTTTGAGCAAGTTTATGGGTGAGGAAAGGGAGAGTAAGGAGAAGAGAGATTAAAGTTACTAAATAGAATAACTGATAGAGGAAATCCAGAAAAAGTGGGAAGAAGCGGGGTTAAGGACATAGGGAAGGACTGACCTTGAAGAGAGAGAGAGAGAGAGAGAGAGGACTTTAATGAAACTGGAGGAAAGAAGTGGAGAAATATATACATATACATGAGTTTATAGATGGAGAAGGGAAAAAGTTGAAGACTATCCTTATTGACTGAATTTTCTTCTATGAAATAGGAAATATATAGCCTTTCACAACCCTGAACAAACTTACTGAGCACTGTATTATATGGTAAAGTATAGTGGTTAAGACCTCATACTCTAGTGTCAATGGCCTGAGTCCAAATCCTGGTTTTCATACACCTCAAACTGTGTGAACTCGGACAAGTCAACTTCCCTGAGCCCCAGTTCCTTCATCTGTACAATAAGAATGTACAGGAGTGCTATGTGGATTAATTATGTTAGTAGGTACAGGTCCCTTAGGACAGTACCTGGGCACTTAGTGCTAGAACCTAAGCATAAAAAGATACTATAAGACACAGCCCTCAAAGAGCTGCCCTCAAAGAGCTTTCAGTCAAGTAAGCCAGTTGTCTAATTTCCTTTCTGCTTGAGTGATGCCATCCAAGAACCATGAAGCGCTCCCTGCTATTTCCACTCAAGACAATTAGAAAAATGTTCCTAAATGACACTGCCTTAAATTTTTTTTAAGTTCTGAATTCTTCTGTAAGACATAATGATAAAGGCAAGAGAGAGATGAGTTTACATAGCTGAGACAGAACAGCTCAGGCAAATCCCTAAAGCTGAGATCTGAGGATAAATAGCATAAACTTCTACCCAAGAGGGGAAAGGACAGATATTCACGGCTGATCCTGAGGGAGTGGAAACCAGTGGCAGGGAAGTAGCAGACTTTCTTATTAATATCAGCTAAGACCACTGTCATCTGAACTAGATCAGTGGTTTTCAAAGTGTGGTCCTTAGATCAGCATCATTTGGATACTTTTTAGAAATGCAAATACTCAGGGCCCTGGGTGGTTCTGTTGATTAAGCATCTGACTTCAGCTCAGGTCATGATCTTGCTGTTCATGAGTTCGAGCCCTGCGTGGGGGCTCTGTGCTTACAGCTCAGAGCCTGGAGCCTGCTTGGGATTCTGTGTCTCCTTCTCTCTCTGCCCCTCCCCTGCTCATGCTCCGTGCCCTTCCCCTCAAAAATAAACACACATTAAAAAACAAAAGAAATGCAAATTCTCAGGCCCTGCCCCATTCTTACTGAATCAGAAACTCTGGTGCTATCTAGAAGCAGCCTGGTTCCAGGAGGCAGTCAGCCCAAAAGATAAAGAATAGGTGTGTGTGATTTAGAACCGACACATTATAATAGTGTATAATGTGTTTACAGGAAGGAACAAGATGGAGAGCAAGAATCTGGCACAAAGTATAGTATATCTGGCCTTGCATACTAAGTTTACAAGAAAACAATGTACTCTCCAATAAAGCAAAGATTGTACTGCAAGCCCTAGAATAGGTGATACATCCTTGAAAAAAATCTATGCTTTGGTAAGTTTCTTATATGTGAAAAATGTTTTGGAATTAACAAAGGACTTCCATATGTGCTAATCAATCCTGATGGTTTTTACAGTGCAGGCCGCCTTATCTCAGGTTTACACATTCAAAAAGGCTTTCACTTGCCCAAGACCAAAGTCAGTGGCAGAGCTGGAATTGAAAACCAGGTCATTTTTCAGTCCAGTTTTCTCTTAACCTCTCATAGTTGGCTACTAATTGGGTTTTCAGCCATCTAGCTACTAGAAAGTGGTTTGAAAAGGGGTCATGAGGGGTGCCTGAGTGGCTCAGTCAGTTGAGGGTACGACTTCGGCTCAGGTCATGATCTCACGGTTAGTGGATTCAAGCCCCGAGTCAGGCTCTGTGTTGAAGGCTTGCTCAGAGCCTGAGCCTGTTTCGGATTCTGTGTCTCCTTCTCTCTCTGCCCCTCCCCCGCTCACGCACTGTCTTACACTGTCTCTCAAAAATAAATAAATGTAAAAAAAAAAATTAAAAAAAAGAAAAGGGGTCATGAGTAGTTCAAATGCTGGGAAGCAGTATCTTCCATTCTAAATTGGTTAATTGACATTCTGTATTATAAACCAGCCTCCTGCGACTGTGAGTTGTGTGACACAATACCCTAGAGTCCAATTATCACTGGAAGAGCTGACAAGACGGAGTTTCTGAACTCCGTGCCTAGGTCACTGCTTGTCATGGGGCTGGCACAATGCAGAGGGCTCCCCTGGAGGGGCATTTAAAATCACGTTTTATTGTCACTTAATCAACATACATCTTCCCCTACAGATTCTGAGATGCCATCCTGAGGGTGCACGGCTTCCTGGTTGAGAATCTCGGCAACAGTGAACCACAGTTACTGACTGGAAGGTGTTCATGTGGAAAAATGGCTGAGAACCACATCCTTTGGCTATGATTGCCTCACAAGTTTTAGCTGTCCTCGATGTTAAATTTAGCACAACCTCAACCTGTCCTCTAAGATCCAGAATTGGTAGGTCCTGAATGCTGGCCCAAATCCAGTTTTTAGCTGTGGGGGTTCTGCAAGGGCCAAATAGGTGGTGGCACCCAACTTCTGAACGTAGTTTCTTGATAAATGTATGATAAAAAGCGGATGGAGGAACCAAATATCACTTTTCTTGTCAATGGGTTGGAAGATACGGCTTTATATGATAGTCTAAATGGGCTTGATAACTTCCTGTCCTAAGGAAGGTGAGCAGATGGAGCAGATATCACCAGAGTTGCTCCTTCCTACTGGTTGTGCGGAAAAGCACAGATAGAACAGATCCCCCACATTCAGCCTATCAAACTTTGAGAGGTTAGTTCCACCCAACTAAGAAACATGGACCAAAGGCAATATCCACCAGGTAGGTTACTCATTCGGCCCACACAAGGAAGAGTAAGGGGTGGGGCAACTAGGAGCACTGTGTTCCTTAACTCATTCTATAAAGGCGGAAGTGGGGATAAAGCATTCTGCCTCCTCCCCGGCACGGGATGTAAGGAATTCTGAAGAAGTGCCAGTGATCCCAGAGAAGACTGATCTGACGATAGGTACAAGACGTATCTGCTGGGAGTGGGGAGGAAAGCTGGGACCTGAGTAAGGAGGCTGCTTGAGATGATCAACGCAGCTGGGATGATGTGGCTGCAAAAATGACAATTTTATAAAAGTTTGCAAGTTAAAAAAGAAAATGAACAGGAAACATGCAGCCTAAGATTTAGTATAGGCAGGTGTCTAATACATTACTTGAGCTTTGAAAACAAAGCCGAACTGAGCAGGGCCAGCTCTTCAGGTATGAGGAAAGGAATTCCAGGAAGGATGTTTGTTGTGTTGGAGAAAGGTCTTCCCGTTCACTGACCTGT